CGCCACTCATCATCAGGGAAATGTAAAACAAAACCACAATGAGATATCACCTTACACCTGTCAAAATGGCTAAAATCAAAATGACAAGAACTAACAAGTGTTGGTGAGAATGTGGCACAAAGGGAGCTCTCATATACTGTTGGTAGGAATGTAAATTGGTATAGCTATTGTGGAAAAGAGTATAGAGGTTTCTCCCCAAAATTAAAAATAGAAATGCCATATGATCCAGTAATTCCACTACTGGCTATTTACCCAAAGAAAATGAAAACACTAATTCAAAAGGATAGAAGCACTCCTATGCTTATTGTACCATTATTTATAATAGCAAAGATATGGAAGCAGCCCAAGTGTCCATCAAAAGAAAAATGGATAACGAAGATGTCACACACACACACACACACACACACGATATTATACAGTCATAAAAAAGGATGAGATTATGCCATACGTAACTACACGGATGGACCTAGAGGGTACTATAGTAAGGGAAATAAGTCAGACTGAGAAAGACAACACTACATTATTTCACTTATATGTGGAATCTTTAAAAATAAATAAATAAATAAACAGCAGCAAAATCAGACCCATAAACACAGAGAACAAATCGATGGCTGCCAGAGGGGAGGGAGTGGAGGATGGAGAAAATGGGTAAGGGGAGTGGGAGATTCAGGCTTCCAGTTATGTAATCAATAAGTCACAGGAATGAAAGTCGCAGCATAAGGAATATACTCAGTGATGTTGTAATAGTGTTGCATGGTGACAGATAGTAGCTACACTCATGACGAACAGAGCCTACAGTATAAACTTGCTGATTCACTATGTTGTACACCTAAAACTAATGTAACATTGTGGGTAAACTATACTCAAATTTAAAAACTAAAAAAAACAAAAACCCAACACTCTATGCCAGGAACCCAACCATGTACCTGGAACCAGGGGGTGGGGTTCGGAGAGGATAGTATGAATTGCTTCCTAGCAAGCCACGAGAAAATACAAAAGAAAAAGGTGCCACTTGTCTCCCACAGGGGTCATTGCTCCAGGGATGTCCCTTTACTGGCCTCACAACATTCTGCTCACTCAGAACCTCTTTTGGTTTCCAAAAGCATGTTCTCTCACCTCCACATACTGTTTCTTCTGCCTGGAACACTTCCTTCACCTCTCCCCCAGCCAAATCTCACTCACCTTACAAGGGATTCAACTTAGAAATTACCTCCTATAGGAAGCCCACAGACTGACCCCGTCTCAGCTCGGTCAAGAGCCTCTTCTGAACCCCCAGAGCCCTGTGGACTTCCACCATCACAGCAGTGGTTACTCTGCCCCATAACACACATTTCCAGAATAGGCACATTGCAGCATGCAGCATTATATAGGAGGAGTGAAATCTCTTTTTGAAGAAAGAGGTGAGTTCTATGTAGTATTGGGAGCTTGAAGAGAGGGGCAAAGATCCAGTTTGGGGTCAGCATTTGAAAGAACATTCTAAAAAATCTACCCCACTCACCAGCCTGGGCTGCCTTGGTAAGTGATGAGCTGCTCGTCATAGTAAGGTAAACAAGCAGGTATCAGAAATTATTTCCCTCAGCTCCCCTCTCCTACACCCAGGAAGTCTAGGCTGAGGCCAGTCCTTGTTTGAGTGGTAGTGAAGTGTGGTGGGAAAGGAGAGGTACAGATGGAGAGAGCCAGATGGAAATGGACCAAGATGGACAGAAAACAAAATGGGAGAACAAGCAATGGAGAAAGAAAGATGTGGGGGGGGCTGATCTCCACTAACTACACCCCAAGACACCATTTGTGACAACATGGATGGACCTTGAGCATATCATGCTAAGCAAGATAATTCAGAGAAAGACAAGTACTATTTGATATCACTTATTATGTGCAATCTAAAAAAGTCAGACCTGTAAAGAACAGAATAAAATGGTGTTTACCAGAGAATGGGGGTGCAGGGGAATACGATCAATGGTGTTTACAAGAGTACAAACTTGCAATGAGTAGTGAATAAGCCATAGACATCTTATGCACAGTACAGTGAGTATAGTCAATAATACTGTACTACGATGTAATATGATAAATATTGCTTTGATGGCAATCATATTACAGCATATAAATGTATCAAAGTAACATGCTGTACACCTTAAATTTACAAATTATAACATTTCAAATGTATCAAATAATAATTTTTTAAATGAAGAGAAAAAAGAATCTCCAGCAGAGTAAACAGTAAATGCAAAAAGCCCAAGGAGAGGCAAGAGTCAGCATGGATAGGTTTGGGGAAGCCAAGAAGAGGGTGCAATTACTTGGTCAGAGCTGCCAGTAGGAAAGATCCTGCAAGTTGTTCTGGGGTGAATGGATTGCACGGGACAGGAGTTGGGGCCTGGAGACCAGGGTGGAGCCTGGGAAGAGATGTCCAAAAGCCGAACCGGAGCAAGGACCGGATTTGAGGATCTGAACATCCTTGGCTTGGAAAACAGCGGCACCTGGTGGTACTTACGGGGAATTGCACCTTCTTTCATTGGCTCAACATTTATTGCCATCACATATACAGAGTTCCCTATGTATTTGACACTTAGAGGGAATCGTTTTTAAATATTCCTTCCTATAAAGTAAAATTATTTTCAGCAATAATCATAAAATAAAAAAATAATAATGATGACCATAAAAGAAATACAGACAGTGAAAATGTACTTCCCTTCTGATAGAAAACTCAATGTAACAACAAATGATTGTCCAGTCACTAACAAGTGAGTTGTAATAAGACAGAAATAGCAGCACCTGGGTGGCTCAGCGGTTGAGCGCCTGCCTTTGGCTCAGGTGTGATCCCTGGGTCCTAGGATCGAGTCCCGCATCGAGCTTTCCACAAGGAGCCTGCTTCTCCCTCTGTCTATGTCTCTGCCTCTCTCTGTCTCTCATGAATAAATAAAATCTTAAAAAAAAAAACTGAAATATCTGCAAACACAATTCGGGAAGCCACAGAATCTTGCCATTGATGTAATATTTTTTCTTGATTTGCTCGTTAGTTTTAAAACAATTTAAAGACAATGCTTGCGTCTTAATGGTGTCATTCAAATTCAGTAATATAGTTCGCATATGAACTAATATGAACATTTACCCACTAAAAGTCTTATATGCCATGGTTTTCAAGGCTTCACTGTTTTATTTTTTTTTTTATTTTTTTTTATTTATGATAGTCACACAGATAGAGAGAGAGAGGCAGAGACACAGTCAGAGGGAGAAACAGGCTCCATGCACCGGGAGCCCGACGTGGGATTCGATCCCGGGTCTCCAGGATCGCGCCCTGGGCCAAAGGCAGGCGCCAAACCGCTGCGCCACCCAGGGATCCCAAGGCTTCACTGTTTTAAACGTTAAGCACAAAATCTCCAAATGGTCACCCAGAATGACAAAATGGAAGTAATTCAAGTTTGTGTGTTTATCTTTACAATCAGCGTTTGTCTATTTTGAATCTAAATGCAAAAAGATATTGTCTCACAGTGCTTGGAGACCCTCAAATAAAGTAAATTACAAATTACCCTCCAAATGAACTCACATAACCCAGAGTCTTGGTGTATCTGGAGTTGATGGCACAACTGGGGCTCTCTGAATTAATTTCCACATAGAGTACCATTAAAGCTCATTCAAGAAAATGCTAATATGGGGCTTACATATAAATTATTAAAACTCAACAATAAATGGTGAAATCCGAGTGAGGTCTGTACCTAATAATCCCCATGTCAAGTTCCTGGCTCTGGGGTCTTCTCACCGGCATTAGCCACCTGGGCCTCACACTCCCACAGATAAAGACCCCACCCTTCCCCCATACTTCCGCAAAACAGCCACAGGGTTTCTTTTTTTTTTCCTTTTTTTTAATTTTTTTTTATTTATTTATGATAGTCACAGAGGGAGAGAGAGAGGCAGAGACACAGGCAGAGGGAGAAGCAGGCTCCATGCACCGGGAGCCCGACGTGGGATTCGATCCCGGGTCTCCAGGATCGTGCCCTGGGCCAAAGGCAGGCGCTAAACCGCTGCGCCACCCAGGGTTCCCGCCACAGGGTTTCTAAACCTTCACAAACAATAAGAAAGAAAACTTGCCTTCCCAGAAGCTGTAGAAAATCTCTTTGCCTTTCCCTGGCTCAGAGTGGGTTTCATGGCTGCCCTTGAGCCAATGCCTCTAGAGAGCCAAGCCAAGAGGATGAGACAATGGCTGGGAACTAGGGATAGGGCCAGTCACAGCTGAGGAAAGGGTAGCAAGTTCAGAAGAGAAATTCAGGAGCCTGGCTCCACCTCACCCAACCTGTTGGGTTCTGTGCTCTGACATCCAATTTTCCATGTGGGGAGTGCTCGCTTTGGCAGCACAAATACCAATTTTCCACGTGGAGAAACTGAGGCAGCAAGCACTTGGGGACAGGACTTCTCAGTAGGAGTGAGCCGACACTTGGGACACCAGGCAATGAAGATCCCAGCTGTGACTGTCCAAGGAGGAAGGTGGGGCAGCTAATGAGGGTGCTGGGTGATAGAATCACCTGAAGACACTACGTAAAATGCACCAATTTTGGGACCAGAGGTGGGAGGAGGGGTTGGCATTTGTTAAAATCACTCCAAGTGACACCAACATTCAGCCAGCATGGAGAGCACCCACCTAATGCAATCCACAAAGACAGGGAAACTGAGGCCCAGCGGTGTGCCTGCCTCAGTTCCCCCACTCTGCCATAGCTCCTCACTCGTACAGGGATGTCCTCAGGGCAGAGGAGGGGGAAGACCAGACCCCCCAGACCCTGGGGATCACGTTCGAGCACACCCAAGAGAAGCTGTTTACAGGCACTTCTCATTGACCCCTTCCAATGACCTAGCCCCTTTCCTGTTCCCCCCTTCACCCCAGAAAAAATGAGGGACTCAAACAAGAGAGAAGCTGAGTTTATTACAATGACTGAGGTCTTGCCACCTGAGAGTTCCCAGTCTTCCCCCTCAGGACACAGAGGAAGGAGGGTCCTTATTGTAAGCAATGCGCCCTCAGCTCAAGGCTCTTGGGTAGATTCTAGCCCAAGAACAGGTTACAAAACCCCACCCTCCCGGGCCTTCCCTCTTCCCCCAACTGGAGAGGACAGGTGACCAGGTGAGGAACCCTAGATCAGTATGAACCTGAGGCCTCAACTGCCTGCCTTACCACGGCCCAGCTGGTAAGGTTTGGGGAGAGGAGCTGAGCTGACTTCAGCCAAACTGGAGGTCCTACGATGGGGCTGAAGCTGGGGCATCATGGTTTGCAGGCCCCAGGCAGGCTGGAGTTCAGACAGAAGCAGCTTCAACCCCCTTTCCACACCCTGGGAGGTCCTCAGCCTTGCTTGCCACGCTATAATAGTAGGCCCGCATGCGCTGCTCCACAGCTTGGAAGTCTGGGCGGTCCTCCCACCTGTGGGAGGTTGGGTAGATCCAAGCCACTGACCATATCCCCACAACCCAACTTCACCTGGAGGGTAGACATGCATGGGGCTTAGAAAATCAATGAGGTTGCCAGGGTGGTGGAGTTTGGGGGTAATGGAGAGGTTTCGTGGGTGTGAGAGGACTAGAATTCAGGTGTTGCCATACCACATAATAGAAGAGCTGCCAACATACAGGATGTTGGAGGAACCACCTGTTGTGTGTTAACAGGTGAAGACTTGGGGAACTGAATTCATTAGGAGTTGGGGTAACAACTATCAACCAAGAGGAGCTGGGATACTGTACATATGCTGAGACCCAGTGTATTTGAGTACTGGGTGCAGGCTTATACAGATGCAAGTATGCTGCTCCTAATCTAGCAGAACACTGGAGCATTGACAGTGGGTTCAGCTTTTGGAAAGTTGGGCCTATTAAAGATGCTAGCCTCTTTCAGTATTGGGGTGTTGGTGTACTATTTCCCAATGGGGGCCAGGTTAACACATGTTGAATGGACTGATCATTTATTATTTATCATAAATAGGGTATCTATTTACCGGGTGGCTTGGGTGTTTGGATGTCAATGTCAGAGGTGTTGGCCAGTGGAATAATGGATGTTGGGGTAGGAAAGGTATCAAATGTTAGAATACCCATGCATTGCATGGCCCAATGTAGGCTAATAGCTTTTTTTGGGGTGCATGTTGCCTATTTTCTGATGGGAAGTTGAAATATTGATAATTTCAGGAGTTGGGGTGTTCAAGCATTGAGTTTGAACATCAGACAGGGGTGAAGGTTTTGAATATATTGAGTTTTTGGATGCTATAGTGTTGGCCTGTGAAGGTAAATAGGTGTTGATGTTGGATGGTGGGGGATTGAGGAATTAGACTGGAGTATTATCCCATGCCCTGACCATTGGTACCATATTTTGGGTAACAGAGTACTGACTTGTTTGGGTATTGTAGGATCAGTGTGTTGAGTGTTGGCTGGTGGGGGACTGAGGTTTTAGATGCTGGAGCAGTAGGTGTCTACAGGTAGGGTGTTATGGTGTTGGCCCAGGGTCAGTGTGTTGAGGCATTGAGCATGGGTGCAGAAAGTAAAGGTACCGAGTGTTGGAAAGGCTGTGAACTGGGTGAGTCTTGGGTGGGATGAGTTTTGGACTCTTGGGCACCACAAGCTCTAGCCCTAGGCCCAGGTGTCAGTTCAGCCGGGTACCCTTCCCTCCCACTGGCACTTACTTGTAGATCCAACAGTCCTTCATGAGTGTGTACATTTCAGGTGGACACTCTAGGGGGCACTCCATCCGCTTGCCCTGCTCAATGAAGGCTATGACCTCAGGCCCCTTCATCTTCTGCTCAAACCAGAACCAAGTGCAATGTGAGTACCAGGGTCACCTCACCCTTATCGCCCCCACTCCCCCACACAGCTGCCCGCCCACCCACCTCTGCCCCCGCCTGCCTTGTAGGGCTTCTGGCCATAGGAGAAGGCCTCCCACATGGTGACCCCATAGCTCCAGACGTCACTGCGGCTGGAGAACTTGCGGAAGTTGAAGCACTCGGGCGCATACCACTTGAGTGGCCACTTCCCCGCTGAGCGGGCCTGAGAATGGAGAGATGCTGCCAGGGCAGGGCTTGGGGACCCTCCACCCACCAACCTCATCCACCTGGGCACCAAAGGGGTGGGGACTCACAGTGTAATAGCTGTCGTCGGCACCCAGTGCCTTGGAGAGACCAAAGTCACTGATCTTGGCATAGTGCCGGTTGACTAGCAGGACATTGCGGGCTGCCAGGTCACGGTGCACAAAGTTTTTCTCCTCCAGGTACTTCATCCCCATGGACACCTGGTGCAGCAGCTCTGCCACATTGCTGATGGGGATCTCCTCCCTGGGGTGCAGGGGAAGGCAGGGTCAACTGGGAGGAGGCAGCCCAGGTTCCCAAGGGGGCAAAGCCCACTTCTCTGATGCAGCTGAGCCTGTGTTCAGCAGGTGCTTGTTGGGCATCTGCTGTGTGCCAGGCACAGGGCTGGGGATATGGCGGGAGGTGAACAAAAAGGCAAAATCCTCTGTCCTCATCTAGTCTTGAGACTTTAAATTTCTCCCACATACTGTTCCCAAACTTACACATTTACTGAGCCTCTATATATCTTCAGAGGGGTCTAACAGGCATCTCAAAATTAGTAAAGACAAAGTTCCTGATTGTTCACACACATGCACACACAACTGGCTCTCCCCACTGTCCCCTTTCTTCTCCAGTAGCTACATCCTTTCATTTACTTAGGCCAGAAGCACTAGCCGTGCCGTCAGCGACTCTTTCTCACACTCAGCTTCCAACCTGTCAGCACAGGTAGCACTCAGCACAGGCAACTCTGCCTTCAGAATCCTTCCAGAATCCTCCTACTACTTCCCACCTCATCTTCTGCCACCATGGTCCAGCCCTCATCATCATTAGCCTGGACCAAAACAGTCACCCTGCCCTCGCCCCCGTGGTCTGTCCTCCCCACACAGGAGTCAAGTCCTGCCACTTCTCCGCTCAGAGCCTCCTAGGGCTCCCATCTCACTTCGGGTAAAAGTCCAAGGTCTCCCCATAAGGCCCTGCACGATCTGCCCTGTCACCTTCCTACCCACATCAGCCCTTTCTCCCTCTCTCCTCTTCACATGCTCTGTTGCAGGCACGGAGCCTTCCTCACAGTTCCTCCACTACCCTGGGCACAGACAGCCTCAGGGCTTTTGTACTGGCTGTGCCCTCTGCCTGGACCGCTCTTCCTCCACAGCTCCACTTTAGTTTACAAACCTCACCTTCTCACTTTTCATCTCCCACCCTGACACTTCCAGTCCTCTTTTTTATAGTAAATATTTTCCAACATACTCTATGTTGTATTATAATTATTCATGAAGACCTCTCTTCCCCAACCAGGATACAGGACAGAGATCTTTGTCTCTTTTGTTTAAAGATGAATCCCTGGGGCTGGTAATAGTCCCTCTTTCAGAGAAATTGCCCAGTAAACACTTGTGGAATAACTGAATGCATAAGCGAGGGTATACCACAAATGCACATGCACCAGTGAGAATGTGAGTGGATGGGCACATGTCTCAGTGAGTGTCAAAGATCATGTCTGTGACGGTGAGAGTTTGAAGCATAAGGACATCTGTGCTGTTAACAGCTCTGCTTTGTGGGTGTGAGTGCGGATGTCAGGGTGTACAGGGGTGGCAGGAGTCATGTGGAAACGAGTGTGCTCCTGGGTGGGGCACATTCATAAGTGGATGGATAAACCTGCTAGGCCCACAAGCTCCAAACACCCAGCCCACCCTGGGGCTCACTTCTTCCCAAGCAGGAACTTGTGCAGGGGCCCGCCGCCCGCCATCTCCATGACGAGCATGAGGGCCTCGGCCTGGCAGACACCGATGAGCCGCACGATGTAGGGGTTGTCCAGCTGGTGCATGATCTGTGCCTCGCGCAGCATCTCATCCTTGTCTGTCTTCTCCGTGCTATGCTTCAGCACCTTGATGGCCACATCAATCTGCTTCCTGCCAGGGTGGGCACCAGAGTCAGCAGGGGCCTTCTCAGCCCCTCATGTCCACCCAGCCTGCCTCTTCTCTCTCCAGACATATGTGGTGGATACTGTGGTTTGTCACCTGGCTCTCCCGTCAGAGCCCAGGCACACACTTCCTTAGCTGCCAGGAGCTTTGGCTAGAACAACTCATGGCCAACGCCCTCACCAAGGACCGCCCCTACTGAAACAACCTCAGAGTTACCCTCCCCAGAGGCGGCCTGTATCCAGTGAGCAGTCAACCTAAGGGGACAAGGGGGACCCTCTGCAGCTCTCCTGGGACGGGTGAGGCCTCTGTTGCAACCACAGCTAGCCCACTTCTCCCTGCCCCAGGCCTGCCTCTCCCACACTCTCCAGTGCTGTCCCTGAGCCTCCCAGGTCACCCCCTAGCGTGTAGTCTCTCCTGGCCCAGGGTGTGTGTCCCATCCTGGATATCACATCCTGGCTACAGCCTCCAAGGTGTGGTGAGTCCACTCCCCTCCTCTGCCCCCCGCAACAGGAGTTCCCCAATCTATGGCAGGGGTGGCCATACTTGCGCATGCGGTAGACGCCCTGGCGTACTGAGCCAAAGTTGCCACAGCCGAGTTCTATGTCAGCCATGAGGAGGTTCTCACGCTTCAGGAAGAGCTTCTTGTCCTTGAGCTCCTCAGGATCGCTGTAGGGGCTCTCATACACACTCGTGTCCATGGGCATTGACTGTGCTTTCTCTGAGGATGCTAGGCGTGCTGGGCACATACACACAGCCATGCACTCCCAAGTCAGGATGAGGGAGTGGGATGAGGCAGGGGAACGAGGAAGTCATGGCAGCCTTGGCACCCACAGAGCATACACCCCAGACAGTGGCGCACCATCCAGAGTATATCCAGGCACATGGGTATCTGTATGTGTTCATGTACACATGTGCACTCGTGTGTGTTCCTGGTCTCATCTGTGGGTGAGCTGGGAAGCCACATTCAAGTGGATCCCAAAGGCATGTGCATCTCTGTGCAACAGGTGACCACGTGTGCTCCTGTGTGTTCACACATATGCACCCACATATACTTTCACCCACGTCTCTGTGTATGATGGGGTCCAAAGGCATGTCTGCATGAGTAGTAACTGTTAGTGCGCCAGCTGGAGGATACATATCTTGTCCTTGAGTGTATTCACTGACATGTCCATGCCTGCTCGTGTCTGTGGATGCACCACATAGCCATGTTGACAAGCACTCCAAGATGAGACTCCATGTGCACATGCAACCATGTGTGTTCTCTGCACACATAGGGACCTCCTTGCATCTATACATCAAACACATTAGCATCCGCAGCAGGGCATCTCAGGAACATGGGCTCAAATCCCACCTCCACTACTGCCTAACTGCAGGACCTTATTGAGCTACTTGCCCTCCTTTCTGATCTTAAAGATAAGAAGAATTGCTATAACTACCTTATATGGCATGTCAGAAACATTCCATAAGCACAGTCACACGAGCATGAAGTGTGACTGGCACATAGTAGATGCTGAACTAATGTGTGTCTGTAGCCCAGGTGACCCAGGCATGGCCAGATGTATGCCTCTGCATGTCCACATGCACCTCACGTACATGCACACAGGCAGGCATGCTGGATGCGCACCCATGCGGATGTCTACAGGCACAGCGTTTGCACAGAGCAAATCAAGCCAACTGCCACAAGTCAGGCCTGACCCATATTCCTCCCCTGCCACACCCCAGGGCCAAGCCAGGGACCTTGATCTAGCCTGGCATGAACCCCCAACGCATACCTCTACCTCTGTCAGCTTACCTGGTTCAGGGGTGTATCCATCTGAGTTGAGGGTGTCAATCCGCCTGTGAGCCTGAAGGTCATGAGGTCAGCAAGGTCAGCAGGGTTAGAGCTGAGGGCACTGGGTCCTTAGACCCATATTCTTAGAGGACTCACAGGGACAGCACTGGGGGGACCTTCTTCTGTTCCATGGCAATCCTACTCTCCATCCCAGCCTCACCCTGGGAAGAGGACTCACCAACCACCTGCCCAGCTCCATCCCTCAGGACCCAACCCTGAGATGCCAGCTAACTCACCTGGGTGAATGTGGATGGGTGGGCTGGAAGTGTGGGAGCAGCAGCCTCTGGAGGAGCAGAAGGGACAGTGAGAGGGTGGGGCACAGGGTCTCTCACTCACCTCTCATCCCTCACCACCCACTTACCTGAGCTGGCGTTGGTGTTGGGGCAGGCATCCTTCAGGCAGTAGATGAGCCCATCTGCCTTTAGCTTCAGGTACTCTACCAGCTGCAGGGAGGCAGTGTCAGGGTCAAGGCTCCTCTCTTCCTCAGATCCCTAAGCAATGCCCCCATCAACAAGGTAGATGGGCAGCTTACCTGCCAGAGCGTGTCAAACTTGGTCCCCTCAGGAATACAGTATTTGCCTGCCTTGTCCTGGCTGATGAGGTAGTGGTACACTGTTTTCCCATAGATCAGGGACAGTGCATACGTGCCCTGCTCCTTCCGGGGCCTCAACCTGGCAAGGGGAAAGAGGGGATGTCACTCCTATAATTACCTGGGCCTCTCTGGTGGTGACCCCCTGCTGGGCCCCAGTTTCCACGCATACACTTGCACACACACATACGACCATGGGCTTTGCCCCTGATGGTCTCATGGAGAAGTGGCAGGGACTAGGGGCGCCAAGGTCAGGCCCCACTCAACCTGCAGACCGGCTGGTAACAGGCTGGTGGGGTGCAGTGGGGTGGAGGAGGGGAATGAGAAGAGGATGGCAGTGTCCACAGGGAGACACACTTGTCCAAGGGCCAACATGTGACCATCCACAGGGGAATACTGGCCTTCTCACAGTGGATACTCAGCCCTGAATAGCCTGATATTCAGCTACCCACAGTTGAACGCCTGACCATCCAGAGGAGAACTCTGAGCCACCCACAAGCAGACACCTGGTCCTCCATGGCTGAGTATGTGGCCTTCCATAGGGGACACTCAGCCACCCTCAGGGGATACCTGACCATCCATGGAGGGATATTTGGCCATCTGTGGTAGACACACAGCCACTCACAGAGGACACACAAATCTATGCAAGTAGACTTAAAATATTCTCTTGGGGAGAGAAAGCCATTTTTACATGAAAAACAACAGAAGTAACCACAACTCTAGCTCCTGGGGCACCTGTGCACAGATCAGAATAAGTCTCCTCATCATGACAACAGATCCACTAGTCACTGTAATAGACTGCCCTTTGACAGAATGAGACCCTTGATTGTCCTCTGCTGGAAATTTGCTAAAATAAATAAGCGAATCTTCCTTGCCTATGAATGAGAGTTGAACCCCTTAAAGATGGTGGTTTTGTGTGTAAGAACCTGTCTGCTCACACACAGCTCCATGTACATGAACCAGTCTAACCGCCCCCAACATACACACACACACACACACACACACACACACACAACAACAACAACAACAACAACTTAGAGCTAGATGCTGGTACCCTCTCCTCCCACGGTGAAACCAATCAACATCTCCCACAAAACATTTGTTTGCAGTCACTGACACAAGGTTCTATTCCAAAGTTAAGTGGAAGTTTCCGATGGAGAATGGACAGCAACTGGTCCTGGAGGTCTTGGGACTTGTAGAACAAGTTGTAGGCAGCTGACCAGTAATCTTAGGAAGTGCACGGAGGTACGGAAGAGTCGGCTGGTGGCAGGCAGCAGGGAATAGGCAACAGGATGGCCTACAGATGCTGTAAACTCTCTGACAGGACTTGGGCCCTGCCCATGGATGTTCATTTATCAGACAAATGTTTACTGAGTGTTAACCATGCGCCAGGTATTGTTCTAAGGGCAGGGATACTATGATACAAAAGAGATGTGAGCCCACCTCATAATCAATCCCTTCTTAGACCAGAGGGATGGAAAAATATCCCCTAAATTGCCACAGCAAAACCTGATAGTGGTACAGAGGAGCAGCAATTTCCCCAGAGAACAAGGCAGTGAAGGATGATACAGTTCCCAGGCTATCCCACAGCAGTCAGGGGTACCTGAAGAGATAGGAAACCAGAGTACAGGGTGATAGGGGAGCACCAAAGGATGAAGAAGAGAGCCCACAACAAACTAAAAAGCAAATGTCCCACAGAAAGGAAAGCACTTCCATAAGTAGACTGGTGGGCTAGCCTCGAAGTTATGGTCTCCAATTACTAGTTCTCTTCTTCTTCTGAGAAGTGAAAAAAATCTCCTCAGGTCAAAACCTTAAATTCTGAACTGGCAGCAGAAACTCAACACCTAGTGCTCACTGGCAAATGTGTATGGAATATTGAAAACACCACCACAATATCAGGCATTCCTTCCCATCACTTGATGGAGTGTCATTCTGTAGCTCCTGAATCAGGACCTGACCACATGATTCGCTTTGGCCAATAAGACATTAGCAAACACGGCAGGAGGAGAGGCTTGGAAAGTGGTTGAGCACTGGGCCTGCTCGCCCTCTCCTGCTTTTCCTGGCAACCCTGCCACCACCATGGGAATGAGTCCAGATTAACCTGTTGGAGAAGCCACATGAAGGATAACCAACACACCCCAGCCTACCAACTACCAGACATGTCCGTGAGGCCATCCTATACCATCGGGCCCCAGTCAACACCCCACTGCATCTGACTACAGGCACATGAGTGAGCTCAAAAGAAATCAGCACAAGAATCACCCAGTTGAGCTAAGCCCAAGCTGTCAACCCACCGAATCAAGGGTGAATAAGTGATGTTGTTTTAAGATATAACATCTTAGGATGGTTTATTATATAGCAAAGCCTAACTGATAATGCTCTCTTTGGAAAGAGATTTGTAAGTCCTTAAAAGAACAATGACCAATTCACAGATAATAACCACATAGGCAGACATGGGTATGGTCACCATATATATTTCAGTGCCACAAATTCTACTTAATTTACCAAGAAAACAGTAGGTGGTAGCAGTACTTTGTCCTCACAGTTCAAACTTGAACTTAGAAGTCCCAGCTAAGAAATTCAGGTGGATCTCCACTTAGGAATATATGGAACCTGATAATGGTGGTAAAGATAAGAGCTACCATTTACTGAGATAGTGGTTCTAAATTCTTCACAGTTGTCACTTAATCTTTACAGCATTCCCCACATGGTAGGTTCTATTCTGCAGTTGAAGAAACTGAGGCATAGGAGCACATCTCCTGCATAGCTGGTTAGCAGTAGGGTTGGATTCAGATCCATTTCTGACTCAGTTAATTGCTAATAGGACCAACAGCCAGCTCCATCACACGATTATCTGTGCTGCCCTGAGCAAGTCACGGATCCTGTCTCAGTCTCCTCATACGTAAAAAGAGACAACTGAATATATCATAAGTTCTTAACCTGAAAAGAGCTCCAAGAATAAGGATCAGGCTCAACTAAGATCTCCTGTAGCTGTACACAAAATCTCTGGGGTGAACATGTTTTGGGGTTCGGAAAGGGGTTCAGCTTCAGTAAGATTCCCAAAGGGGGTCTGTGATCCAGAAGAGGTTAGGAAACACTTAAAAAATACTCTTAAAGGCCCTTTGTGGGGGGTCAGGTTTCTTTTCAAGTTGAATCAACTCATAACCATAAGCCCTGCGATTACACAGAAAGTTTTGGCAGCAAACAGCGTGAAGTACAATCTCAACCATTTTTCAGCAGCTCTGAAGTGTGGTCAACAGTAAGCATGGCCCTGGTCTTAATTCCAGGCCCGAGTGGCATACATCTTTCCATCACACCCTATACTCTTATCTCAGAACTGGACCTGTCCTGGGCTTGTGACAGGCATCAGGATCCATCAAGGGTGTTCCCTTCCCCCCAGGCCCATGCAAGGTTCTATGCCTACAGCTTTGACCTTCAGCCCCCTAACTATCCCCATACTGAGAAAGCAGTTCTTGACTACAGGAACTACAAGAAGAATCTACAACAGCCTCTGTCTAAAGCATGCCTTGCCTAATTTTCCAAGAGTCTGGCTCAAAGTAGCTGCTTCTGGTCTCTTGACATTGCCCAGCAGGAGTCACCATCCCTGATAATGTCACTGCTCCAACTGCTTCTGAACTTCAGTGCCAGCTCAGTCTCTACACAGTACCCAAGCCCAGCTTCCTCAGCTTCTACCTCCTGTGGCCCGTTCTGGCCCAACCTGCCTCTGTGGCTTCAAGCTTGACATCCAAGGCCTACACAGCTGGTCTAACCCCTTGGCGCTGGCTCTTCTGACACTCCTCTTAACCTCAGTAGACCAGTTAACTGTCATAAACTCTGCAGAAAGTCTGGAAATCTTTTTCTTGAGGCAGTGGAATCATTGTCAAACATCTTCCATGGAAGATTAAGATGCAAAAGAGGTCAAAGCTGAGGTACGACGGGGAGAGCAGCTGATAAGTAGCAGAATCTGACTTCCTATCCAGACTATACTGTATTGATTCATCATGCTTGGTCTTCCTGCTCCACAGTTACAGGGATTTATGTCTGTTTTGTTCATTGTTATGTCTTCAGTGCCTGAAACAGTGCTTGGCACATAGTAGGCGTTCAGTAAATATTTGTTGAATGGAGGAGAGGAAATAGAAGCAGGCAGAAGTTCAGCCACTTGCCCAGCGTCCGCAGCTGGTAAGTAGCAGAATCTGGATTGTTCCTCAGCTCTGGCATCCTAACCACTGCAGATCCCTTCCCATATTATGCCCCTTCCCACACTCAGAAACACACAACCCCCCTGCGTGTGTTAGCACAGGTGTACCCTTCATGGTCCATCTGCACCCTGAGGTCTGCAGCACCCTCCAGTATTCCAGCCAACAAGCTCCAGCCTCACCACCCCAAAGCCCCAAACCTCAAGCCCCACATACAGGAACTTGCCGTCGGTCTGCGAGCCCGAATAGAGTTTGCGCTCTGCCTCCTCGCGTGTCAGGCTGCTGTGGTACCAGGGCATCCGCTCATGAGCTGTCGTGGCAATGAGTTTCTCCACCTGGGGAGCCTGGCTGATGATGGCCTGCTCCAGGGCCTCGCCCTAGGGAAGAGTAGATCAACAAGACTTGTAACTGTCACCAAGAGTGCGACCACAGGAAGCCTCTTCCATCTCCTGGACTTTCTTAATTGTCTCCGTCCCGAGAGACCCTAGGGTGAGTCCTTCAGCCTGTTGAGGAGAGCGCCCCGCCCCCATCTCCCACCCAACCAGGGCCATGACAGGCGACCCCAAACTCATCTCCAGCTTGACAATCTGACACCGGCTGTCCCGCAGGCAGCGCCCCCAGCGTCCTCAGGCTCCGCCCCCAGTCCAGACCTCCAGGTCTAGCACAGTCTAGCACCAAGGCATCGCTCAGGCCCCGCCCTCCGAAGCCTCCTCCTAGGTCCCGCTCCCACCCACCCCTCCAGCTTCCAGCTTCCAACTTCCAACTCCGGCGCGGTACTGCAAAGCACAAGCTGTTTTTTGTTTTTTGTTTTTTTTTTTTAAGATTTATTTATTTATTTATTCATGAGAGAGGCGGGGGGCAGAGGGAGAAGCAGGCTCCATGCCGGGAGCCCTACGCGGGACTCGATCCCGCGACTCCAGGATCGCGCCCTGGGCCAAAGGCAGGAGCCAAACCGCTGAGCCAGCCAGGGATCCCCATCAAAGCACAAGCTGTTGAAGACAACGGCTCCCCCACCTCGCCCCCCACGGCTCCGAGGCTCTCTAGGCTCCCGGACCAGCTCACAACCAGGCCGACCTCCCTGCCCCGCCCCCGGGTCCGCCCACCTCCCCGGCCCCCGCCCCCCGGGACGCGCCCGCCTCCCCCGCCCCAACCCCGGGACGCGCCCGCCTCCCCCGCCCCGCGTTCTCACCTCCAGCTTCCACGTCTGGCGCACGTAGTCGCGCACCATGGCGTCGCGCAGGCAGTCGAAGACCCCGGGCTGCGGCTCGAGCCCGGACGGCCGGTTGCACGGCTTGCGCAGGTTGCAGGGCAGCCCGTCGGGGTCGCGCGAGTAGAACTCGCAGAGCTCGGCGGGGCCGCAGTGCGCCTTGCCGCCGGCGATGGCGTAGGTGCCGTTGAGCTGGCGCTCGATGGGGAAGTGGTGGAAGCGCACGTTGTGCACGAGGGAGAGCACGTAGCCGCCCAGCGAGCGCAGGCACTGGCGCAGCAGGAAGAGCCCGTCGGCCATGCCCGCCAGCTTCAGGTGCTCCTCGGCCTCGGCGCGCGAGATGCTGCCGTAGAAGAAGGGCAGGTGCGCCGCGGGGTCCGGCATCGCCGCCGCCGCCCCTGCGCCTCGGCCGGAACCCTGCGCGTTCAGAGCGAGATGGAGGGCAGGTCAGGGCTTCGGCCTGCCTTCGCGAACACCCTCCGTTGGGCCCAGAGGCGTGGGAGAGAGGCTGCCTTGAGGGGCATCCATGCCAACCGTGCAGAGCCTGCTTTGTGCCAGAATCAGCTTTGGAGGGGAGCCCCCAGCTTGCTGGGCTCAGTCCCCAACCCTCCTCTGGCTCTTCAGACACTTGTGCTGAGCGCCCAAACATCCCCACTGGCCCCCCCACACCAGCACCTGGAACCATTCATTCATTTCCCAAACACCTGTTGAATTACAGAGCTCCAGGCCAGTGCTGGAGATAACAGTGAATAAGACAGACTTGGTCCTGCCTTCCTGAAGACAGCAGTCTGGGATACATGAAACAACGAGAGAGGCAAAAATAAGTACAAACTGAGGTCCGTGTCCTAAAGGACATAGAGTGATATTGAGAGAGAAAAGAAGGGGGGAGGCAAATTGAATTTAAGTAAAATATTCTGGGGGGATCCCTGGGTGGCTCAGCAGTTTAGTGCCTGCCTTCCGCCCAGGCCCTGATCCTGGAGACGCAGGATCGAGTCCCGCATCGGGCTCCCTGCACGGAGCCTGCTTCTCCCTCTGCCTGTGTCTCTGTGTGTGTGTGTGTCTCTCATGAATAAATAAAATCTTTTAAAAATAAATAAATAAATAAATAAATAAATAAATAAATAAATAAATAAATAATATTTTTTAAAAAGCCGAAAAGGGATCCCTGGGTGGTGCAGCGGTTTAGCGCCTGCCTTTGGCCCAGGGCGCGATCCTGGAGACCCGGGATAGAATCCCATGTTGGGCTCCCGGTGCATGGAACCTGCTTTTCCCTCTCCCTGTGTCTCTGCCTCTCTCTCTCTCTCTCTCTCTCTCTCTCTCTCTCCTTTCTGTGACTATCATAAATAAATAAAAATTTTAAAAAAAAAGGCAGAGAAAAGAGGCCACTGTAGCTGGGATGGTCACCTTCTCTGAGGAGGTAGCATTTGAACTGAGATCTGAAGGATGAGGAGGAGCCAGCTTTTCAAAAATCATAGAAAAGAGCACATTGGGCAGAGAAAACAGCAAGTATAAGAGCTCTAAAGCTGGAACCAGCTTTGTTCTTCAAAAGAACATTACTCTGTTAGCCTTCCCTTCTCCCTTTCCACTGAGTCCCCTCGGCCTTGGAAATTCCCCTTTGCCCTGCTGCATCTGCCTTCCTGGACAAATTTCTAGAAAGCATAAACTAATCTGAATATCCATCAAAAGAGAGCAGTTAACTACATAAGGATTTAATTCCAATGTGAACTTTTATACAGCCACTGGAAAGTATGCTCCTATGTGGGGAGAAGGGATTAAAAATGTTTAGATACATATCCAGTAAGGCAGATATTTAGATACATATCTAGTAAAATTATCTTTAACTTTCTGGGGTTAAAGTATTAATGACTGATATTTTGATAAGCACTGGGTTATACAGGTGTCTGAATTTCTCAAAGAATGTGCTGAAATTTGTTCATTTCATTGTATTTGAACCCCTCAGTTTTGTTAAGATTTTATTTATTCATGAGGCATACAGAGAGAGACAGAGACATAGACAGAGAGAAGCAGGCTCTCTGTGGGGAGCCTGATGCAGGACTGGATCCCCAGACCCGGGATCATGTCCTGAGCCAAAGGCAAATGCTCAACCACTTGAGCCATCCTGGCGTTCCTGAACCCCTCACATTTATTTTTTTTAAGATTTTTATTTCTTTATTCATGAGAGACACACAGAGAGGCAGAGAGACACGGGCAGAGGGAGAAGCAGGCTCCATGCCGGGAGCCTGACGTGGGACTCCATCCTGGATCTCCAGGATCACACCCTGGGCTGAAGGCAGCGCTAAACTGCTGAGCCACCAGGGCTGCCCTGAACCCCTCACATCAAAAAAAAAAAAAAAAAAAAAAGACCATAAAATATTGAGCACTAGTTAATGACATGTATGCAGAAATATTTAGGTCCAATGGCTACTGATGACTGATTTAATGTGAAAAGCATCCAAAAAAATAACATAAACTGATGGATGGGGCAGATAGGTACACAGACACAGTCAAGTCTTATTAGTCAGAGAAGTTCTGTAGAGTTATTGCAAACACTGAATTAGCAAATATTAAATGCTTGCTCCTAGAAGAAATGCAGGGATAGGTTCCATCAAGTCTCTGATCACAATATTTTCATCAACCAATCAGTACATAACCCTGTTTCTGCTAACGACACTATTTGACATATATTGTTGATTCATTAACATTGAACGCTCACCCAACAGCACCACAACTTTAAGATTATCTAACATACTTTTCACATAAGGCACATCACAGCCCTCTTGCACTTAGGAATGCAAGACAGCACTTGATCACTATGCTGTTGTTTAAACAATGTAATCACCAACAAAAAGCACAAAATCATGGCACCAAATAGAGGACACATGTTTACAATATGAAAATTAAAGCAAAAAAGGTAGAGGAGTGTCAACTTGTTGGACCTCAGTGGTAATGCGCCTGTCAGTTGACTCAAATTTCTTGCTTCTCTGCTTAATGTTTGGTTGGGTTTTTTTTTTAAAAGATTTTATTTATTTATTTATGAGAGATACAGAAAGAGAGAGAGGCAGAGACACAGGCAGAGGGAGAAGCAGGCTCCATGCAGGGAGCCTGACATGGGACTTGATCCTGGGTCTCCAAGATGAGGCCCTGGGCTGAAGGCAGCACTAAACCACTGAGCCACCCGGGCCGCCCATCTGCTTAATGTTCTTGAATGACTATGAAAGGGCCTCAAGTATTAGTTTGGGGGTTACAAGTAAATTTTAGCAAGTAGGCTAAATACAGAATCTGCTAATAATAGCATCAACTCTATGTGATCCTAATATTCACCCAGTGAATATAACAATTGTAGAACATAGGAGTGTTAATGGGAATTCTTCCCATTTTGCTGTATTTTTGTGAGTTTTTATATAATACTGAAAAAAATGTATCTCCCCATAACAATTTCTAGGCATTTCTCTAAGATGGCCCCCACAAGACCACCCAGGCATAGGTTATGTTCAGGGGAGGATCCTTGGGTGCCTTCCTTACCTAAGCAAATGTAAGCAGGGGTGCCAAGGTTTTTGTGGATTGAGAAAGGCTGCCTTTCCCCCTGGGCATCCAGGAACAGACAAGGATGGGCTGAGAGGAAGATACTGGAGTGAAAATCAGGCGAGGTCTGGATTGGGGTAACCAGAGGAGGAGCCAGGATCTGAATTCTAACCTGATAGCTCCTGACATTGGGGTTGGGAAGGCAGGCTTAAGGGGGTTCCTGGGTGTCCCAACAGTTACAGGCATGTGAGTAATCACAGACTGCATTTGTGTCCCCACTTGGAGACATAGGTCACCATTCCATCAGAGTGTTTAAGAGTCAAAAAGAGTTCCTAGGTATATACCCTAGAGAAATGGAAACTTGTATTCACACAAAAACCTACACAGGAAATGTTTATAGCAGTTCTATTCACAGCTGCCAAATTCTGGAAACAAATGTATCTCAACCGATGAACAAATAAACTGTAGTATATCCCTGCCATGGGATACTACACAGCAATAAAATAAAGGGAAATGCTAATACCCACACCACATGGATGAATCTCAAAGGCATCATGTTGAGTGCAAGAAGCCAAATCCAAAAGGCTACAAACTACAGAATTCCATTCAAAGCTTTATCAGTGGAGCACCAGTGGTTGCCAGAGGCTGGGGGTCAAGGGGAAAGACTGACTAGAAAGGACATGAGGGTATTTGGGAAAATAGTCAATATTTTGATTGAGATGGTAGTTTCTCGATCTATATGCATTTGTCAAATCTCACAGAAGTTTTCACTAAAATGGGTGAATTTTACTGTATGTAAATTATACCATAATTTTTTTTAACTAAAGGAACTGGAAAGTATAGACAAACCAGAGACTAAAAATAATAACTGACATAGGAAATAAAGTGCTGTTTTCACTCCTGCTCTACTTCTTGGTTCCCACCACCTCACCCAGCCTCACAGTCTGCCCTCCACCCCCACCAGGATGCTCTCCAGGTTAGAGAGGAAGCACTGATATCACCAGCTAGTGGACACCAGGCACGCACTTAATGCCTCCTCAATGCTGGGTCCCCTGAGTGGTGGACATCATGATCCCTCCTTCCTGCTTGAGCCTCTTGGCTCTCCCTGGTCCTTCACAGGCCCCCTGACGTGCCTCCTCACTCTGACAGTTCCTACTCTCTCTCCTTCCCCAGCCCTGGTCCCTGTACTTAGGCCATTCTGTCTGGGGCTATAAACATACCACCATGCCCAACCTATCTAGTCCACATCTCTCTCCTTTGAGATCACCTCCTTTGATCACCCCCTGCTGTGTGTCTATTAATATAACCTGAGATCCAGATCTAACTCATATGGTGTGTGTGGTTTGACTAAACCCCACAGTTTGTTTCCCATAAGCTGAGCTCCAGGGTCTGCAACGGTTCTCGACAATTTTCCCCATGGCTTCCCTTGCTCAAGAACTTACTGTGGCTCCCTCCTGCCCACTTTATTTAATCTAACTAAACTCTCCGATCCTCCCTCTGTTCCAGCTGTGCTGTTAGCCTTCTTTCAAATTTACTTCCATACTTTTATCCACGCAGTGCCCTCTACTGAGTACACCCTCCCCACTTCTCTCCATCTTCCCAAATCCAGCCACCCCTGCCTCACAGATTCACATAGCTACTCCCTATACCCAGGACCAGGCAGCAAGGTGGGGGCTTGCCCAGGGGCTGTGAGGAGGTGGGGGTAGTGAAGCTAGTCTCTGGGGCAGGAAGCTGTGGCAGGAAATTGTCAGCAACACAGTTTGAGAAGCTCCTCCCCGCAATGGCCACAGGTGCAACCTGGGTAGCCAGAGACAGGTTAGTGCAGCAGGGGGTGGGGAGAGACTGGCTCTTGGGGCCCAGTCCAGGGTCATAAGCCATGATTGGCCACCTCAGAC